CGTCACCCTCCCTCCCGCCCTCCCTCCGTCCCTCCCTCCATCCCTCCGTCCATCCCTCCATCCATTCCTCCCTCCATCCCTCCGTCCATCCATCCCTCCATCCCTCCCTCCGTCCATCCCTCCCTCCGTCCATCCATCCCTCCCTCCATCCATCCATCCCTCCGTCCATCCATCCATCCCTCCGTCCATCCCTCCCTCCGTCCATCCATCCATCCCTCCGTCCATCCCTCCATCCCTCCGTCCATCCATCCCTCCCTCGATACCTCCATCCCTCCCTCCGTCCATCCCTCCTTCCATTCCTCCGTCCATCCCTCGATCCCTCCGTCCATCCCTCTGTCCATCCCTCCATCGATCCCTCCATCCATCCCTCAATCCCTCCGTCCATCCCTCCATCGATCCCTCCGTCCATCCATCCATCGATCCCTCCATCCATCCCTCCGTCCATCCATCGATCCCTCCGTCCATCCATCCACCGATCCCTCCGTCCATCCCTCCATCGATCCCTCCGTCCATCCATCCATCGATCCCTCCATCCCTCCGTCCATCCATCGATCCCTCCCTCCGTCCATCCCTCTGTCCATCCATCGATCCCTCCGTCCATCCATCCCTCCCTCCGTCCATCCCTCCTTCCATTCCTCCGTCCATCCCTCCTTCCATTCCTCCGTCCATCCCTCGATCCCTCCGTCCATCCCTCCGTCCATCCCTCCCTCCGTCCATCCATCCACCGATCCCTCCGTCCATCCATCCATCGATCCCTCCATCCATCCCTCCGTCCATCCATCGATCCCTCCCTCCGTCCATCCCTCAATCCCTCCGTCCATCCCTCTGTCCATCCATCGATCCCTCCATCCATCCCTATTCCTTTCCAGTCCAGTTCTGGGCAGGAGGCTCCTGCGATGGGGCCCGGCTCCCAGGGGTTTCCGGTATCGGTGAAGTCCCTCGCCATCGTTACCAGCATGCGGTCCACCGTCCTAGGGAGGGAGCGAGCTGCCGAGTAATTATAAGTGATAATGGACTTGTGATGTTTGGGGCCCGGCCCGGCCTCCCGCGGGCCCCTCACAATTTGGCTTTCTACAGTAAAAAACGGTCCAATTATCCGGCGGAATTTTAAACGGCGTTTCTTTGTGCCGGCGTTCTTCAGAGGTCGCTTTCATGCCGCTGTCAATATCTGTGTAATATTACATAAGAGAGGAGAAATGAGGGTTGCCATGGAAACTCGGCGTGATTAGCGGAGTATAAAAGAAAAGTAGCCGCGGAAATTTCCAGTCAGGAGCCTGGCGGCGGCGTCATGGTGGAGGATCGGCATGGTGGAGGAGCCCGGCGGCGGCGGCATGGTGGAGGAGCCCGGGGGCGGCGGCGTCATGGTGGAGGAGCCTGGCGGCCAATGTCAGGCCTCCGCTCTGACCCGGGAACATTTATATGATCAATAAAGTAATCTGTACACAACCAATGCGCGGGTCACAGGGTTCACCCCTCACAGGGGACGTGGGATTATCGAGGGGCGGAGCCTAAGTGACATCTTCACCAGAGCACTCCAGAAAAGGTGATGGGCTAGTGACCCTGGAGTGCTTACAATGAGGGGGAAGGGTAGCGGCACTATGGCTGGTCAGTGTCCAATCAGAGGCCAAGGGGGAGGCCGGCGGGAATAGTCAGTGTCCGGATGGGGACGGGTGACACAGGTAGAGTCAGGTGATCTGGATCTATAGCAGGTAGACGCCCTCCATGGTTTCAGAGCCCCGCCCACAACATGGGATTCACATTCACTTTCACACAAATAAAAGTCAAATACAAAACAGGAGAAAAGGAAAAAACACAAATAAAAACCTTCAAAATAAATGATCTACATGTGTGGGGGAAGGGTGGTGGGGTACACAGGGGACCACCACACATCACCTATGAGCTGACTATAAATGTTCCTCCGAGAGAACAGATGAGCAAATGGCATTCGCACGGCATCCCCACCACTAGATGGGGCCAAAGAACGTCGGTGAGAGGAACGTTTCTACATCAGCCCCGAAGTGTACAATATGAAGCCCCCCAAAGACTCCAAATACACAACATCCATCCAGGTGTGCGTCCCTAAGATCCTCCCCGAAGATGACCAGATATGGGACTAAGAGTTAAATCCTAAAATCCCTCCGAGTCCCCGAAATCTGAGCAACAATGTATCCGATTTGTGTATCACTCGGATCCTCCAATCATCTCTGACACTGTCCTTCCTTCCGGAGGGGGGGCTACGTCTGTTCCCCATGGCCCCTGTGTGTGTTGTAGTCACCGCTCCAAGCTCCACCCCCCGGGATGGACTACAATCTCAGGTTTAGTTTACTGATTTGTATTGAGTTGTAGTCCATCCAGGGGGGCGGAGCTTGGAGCGGTGACTACTCTACAACACTCAGGGACCATGGGGAACAGACGTAGCCCCCCCTCCGGAAGGAAGGACAGTGTCAGAGATGATTGGAGGATCTCCAGCCGAGTGACACAAATCAGATACATTGTTGCT